GCACCTGCGTGACCCACCTTTGTGCTACTGTCGTCTGGTTTGGCCCCCCGGGACCAGGATGAGATCATTGGGGGCTGGCTTGGAGGCCGAAGGAGCGCTGGCATTCCCGTCCCCCCCCCCCCCCCCCCGGGGGGCGAGACACCTCCGAGCAGCCAATATTCGTACGAAAATAATCCCACCAATATGCGCGGACATATGCCCGGCCCCCCCCCCGCCCGCTCCTCCCCCCTGCTGGAACCAGCAGGCGGTCCGATCAATCTGCCGGCCTTTTTTTCTCGAAAGAACAAAGAGCCATTTTCAAGCCACCCAGGCGGCGGGTGAACAGGCGGCTGCCGTTGCTCGCCATCCAATCCCCCTCTTGCTCCTTTCACCTCCCCCTCGCTTCTCGCCCCTCCCTCTCCAAATCGGACCTGCACGCGTGCCTGCACCTGCACACGCGCTCGCGCTGCCCCTGCTTCTCACGAGTTCCCTGCGCTTGTCTTTTGTTCGGCCCAAGTTTGTCGCGCGCCTACAATATGTCTGCCCCTGCCGCTCGTCCATCCACCACCCCCTCCTACCTGACTATGTTGCTCGAGGAGGCGGCTGCCCAGCATTCGGTCGGTAACCTCCTGGATGCGGTGCGCTTGTACTCCGAGGTGATTGCCATCGATGCAAACCATGCCGAGGCGTACCTCCTCCGGGCCAAGGCCGCCACCGAGCTGGCCGCCCTCGATCGGTCGAAGCATGAGCTGCTGGTCAAGGAGGCAGAGGAGGCTGCTGCCGCCGCCGCCGCCGCCGCCGCCGCCGCCGCCACCGCCGCCGCCGCCACCGCCACTGCTGCTGCGCCGGCTGCCGCCACTGCTGCTGCGCCGGCTGCTGCTCCGGCCTCTGTGGAGGTGTCCGCCCCGGCCGCCTCTGCATCTGCCAACAAGCCTCGGTACGCCGAGACGTGTTTCCGGAACTCCCTTGCCCGCCTCGCTTCTTCTAACCCGGGCTTCGACTCTGCCTCTCAGCTTCGACTGGTATCAGAACGACACGACTGTCTTCCTCTCGCTCTTCGTCAAGGGTGCCTCGGCGGCCAAGACGACCGTGGACTTTGGGAACCGCTCGGTGCGCCTGCCGCCGTGGGAGCTCCACCCGCTCCCTTTTTTTCCTCTTTCTGTCTCTCGCTCTCTCTCTCTCTCTCTCTCTC